GGCGAACTCGCAGGCTTGCTCTTAAATGTTAATTTGGAGCGGCCCTCGATCCAGGTGTACATTATTATATATCAGTTTCTGTATAGACTGCATTGTGTTCATCCCCAATAATCTAATCTTTATCTGTCACCATCCATATGTGCCCCTTTACCCCTTTCCCCTCCCCCCACCCCCTTTCCCTCTGGTAACCACTAATCTGCTTTGTCCGTGTGTTTATTTATCTTCTACATATGAGTGAAATCATACAGTGTTTGTCTTTTTCTGTCTGGCTTCTTTTGCTTAACATAATACCCTCAAGGTCCATCCATGTCATTGCAAATGGGACAATTTTGTCTTTTTTATGGCTGAGTAGCATTCCACTGTATATATATACCACATCTTCTTTATCCATTCATCCGTTGATGGGCACTTGGGTTGCTTCCATGTCTTGGCTATTGTGAATAATGCTGTAATGAACATAAGGGTACATAAAGCTCTTTGTATTGTTGATTTCATGTTATTTGGATAAATACCCAGTAGTAGGATAGCTGGATTGTATGGTATTTCTACTTTTAATTTTTTGAGGAATCTTCACACCGTTTTCCATAGTGGCTGCACCAGATTGCTTTCCCACCAGCAGTGTATGAGGGTTCTCTTTTCTCCACATCCTCTCCAGCACTTGCTATTTCTCATCTTGTTAATTATAGCCATTCTAACAGGTTTAAGGTGATATCTCATTGTAGTTTTGATCTGCATTTCCCTAATAATTAGTGATGTTAAACATCCTTTCATGTGCCTGTTGGCCATCTGTATGTCTTCTTTGGAGAAATGGCTGCTCATATCCTCTGCCCATTTTTTGATCAGGTTGTTTGTTTTCTTCGTTGTTGAGATGTATGAGTTCTTTATATATTTTGGAAATTAACCACTTGTTGGATATATGGTTTGCAAATATTTTCTCCCAGTTGGTGGGTTGTCTTTTTGTTTTGTTCATGGTTTCCTTTGCCTTGCAGAAGCTTCTTAGTCTCATATAGTCCCATTTGTTTATTTTTTCTTTTGTTTCCCTTGCCTGGGTAGACATTGTATTTGAAAAGGTATTGCTAAGACTGATGTCTTTGAACCATGTTTTAGTTAGTTTGTTTGTTTCCTTATTGTTGAGTTTTAAGAGCTCTTTGAATATTTTGGAGAATAGTCCGTTATCACATAGGTCTTTTGCAAATATTTTCTTCCAATCCGTGACTCGACTTCCCATTCTCTTGACACTGTCTTTTGCAGAGCTGTAGTTTTTCATTTTAATGAGGTCCAGTTTGTCAATTTTTCTTTCATGGCTTGTGCCTTTGATGTTGTATCTAAAAATTCATTGCCATCCCAAGTCTTCGAGGTTTTTCCTATGTTATCTTTTAGGAATTTTATAGTTTTGCATTTAGTTCTATGATCTATTTTGTGTTAATTTTTGTGAAGGGTGTAAAATCTGTTTCTAAATTTGTTTTTTTGCATGTGGATGTTCAGTTGTTCCAGAACCATACGTTGAAGAAAATATCTTTGCTCCACTGTCTTGCCTTTGCTCTTTTGTCAAAGATCAGTTGACTCTATTTAGGTGGGTCTCTTTCTGGGCTCTCTGTTCTGTTCCATTGATCTATTTGTCTATCCTTTTGCCAATACCACACTGTCTCGAGTACTGTAACTTTATAGTAAGCCTTGAAATCACGTAGTGTGAGTCCTCCAAATTTGTTCTTCTCCTTCAACATTGTGTTGGCTCCTCTGGACCTTTTGCTTCTCCATATAAACTTTAGAATCAGGTCATTGATATCCACAAGATAACTTGCTGGATTTTGGTTGGGATCGCATTGAATCTATATGTCAAGTTGGGAAGAAGTGACACCTTAATAACCAAAAGCTGGAGTTTTTAACTCTCAGACTTGTCCACGCTGAGTGTCCAGCAATTTGTCAATTATAGTTCAGCTTTTCCTCCTCAGGCACTGGTTTTCACGGTGGTTTCTGATCCTGACTCTCTGCTCCGGTAAGCCATGACTCCCTGTTATTTGCCTGCCTGGCTCTCCAACATTGGAGGGCAGTGGTTTGCCCTACGTCCTTCCCTCTCTTACGGCTCCAAGAAGAGTTGTTGATTTTTCAGGCTGTTCAGCCTTTTCCTTGTTGGGATGAAGTGGCAACATCCAAGTTCCTTACATGCGGGACCAGAAACCAGAAGTCAGTAATTTTTAAAAAAACATTATTGCCTCTCATAATTTTGTATGTCAGGACTTTGAGCAGGGCTGAGAGGGGCAATCATTCTGCTCCATATGTGGCGTCAGAAGGCAGCTGGATTGTTCTGGAGCATTTTGTTGTTGTTGTCAATTACACATAGAATTTACCATTTTAAAATGGATAATTCAATGGCACAAAGTACATTCACAATGCTGTGCAACCATCGCAGAACTGTTTCTAGGACTTTTTCACTATCCTAAAAGGAAACTGCATTAGCAGCCATTCCCCATTTCCCACCCCCACCCCTCCCCCTCACAACCAGTTATCTACTTTTTGCCTCTATGGATTTGCCAGTTTCTTGATATTGCATATAAATGGAATCATACAATATGTGCCCTGTTTTGTCTGGTTTCATTCACTTAGCATAATGCTTTCAATGTTCATCCTTGTTGTAGCATGCATTAGTACTTCGTTCCTAACAATGTATGAGGGTTCTAACTTCTCTACATCCTCAGCATTTGTTATTTTCTGCTTTTGATTGTGTCTATCCTAGTAGGTGTGAAGCGCTATCTTATTGTGGTTTTGATTTTGCATGTTCCTAATGACTAATGATGTTGAGCATCTTTTCATGTACTTCTTGGCCATCTGTATATGTTCTCTGGAGATATGTCTTTTCAAATTCTCTGCCTGTTTTTCCTTAGATTGTCTTTTCGTTGTTGAGTTGAAAGAACTCTTTTTATATTATGGATACAAGATGCTTACCAGATGTATGCTTTGCAAATATCTCCTCCCATCCTGTGGCTTGTCTTTTCACTCTCTTGAAAGAGCCCTTTGATGCACAAAAGCTTTTAATTTTGAAGTCAAATTATCTGTATTTTTCTTTTGTTGCTTGTGCTTTTTGGTGTCATATTTAAGAAACCATTGCAAAATCCAACCAAGGTCATGAAAGTTTCCTCAGGTTTCCTTCTAAGAGTTTTATGGTTTTAAGTCATATATTTCAGTATTGATTCATTTTTAGTTAATTTTTGTATATGGTATGAGGTGAGGGTCCAACTACTGTTACTGCTTCCTAGTTTGACTCCATTATGGCAAAGAAGATACTTTGTATGATTTCAATCTTTTAAAATTTATTAAGACTTGTTTTGTGGCTTACTATATGGTCAATCCCGGAGAATACTCCATGAGCATTTGAGAAGAATATGTGCCCTGCTGTTGTTGGGTGGGTGTTCTATAGGTGCCTACTAGACCTAATCGGTTTATGGTGTTGTTCAAGTCCTCTGCTTCCTTACTGATCTTCTGACTAGTTGTTCTATCCATTATTGTGCTGAGCCTAAAGATTAGCCAGAGGAGAAATCTTACGGCCTTCTCAGGTCTTTTCTGACTCTGAGTCCTGCGCTGGGCAAGCACATGGTTTTCTGGATACCCAGGTATACTTGGGAGCATTCCAAAGCCCTTATTCTGTAAAGTATCTCACTCCCCAGTGTTCCCTTCCAGGATGTTGGCATGCCTATTGCTTGCTGCCGGCAGCAGCAGCTTGTTCACTTGCCTTTCAATGATTTTGAGGCACGTCCTCCACATAGCCACGCCTCCACCCTAAGAGAGTTTGGAGTCAGGTGAAACAAGAGCAATCCATCCCCTTGTGTCAGTCCTTCAGGGAGCCCCCCCGGACAGGTTCAAACGAACGAACACAATTCCTTGGGAATAAGGTCCACTCTCCTCCCTCCAGAACCAGGAACCCCGACTTGGAACGCAGGCTGCCATCTATAAGACCACAGCTATGCCAGAGAGGAGGGTGTGCAAGAATAAGTTAAAATGCCACAAAACTTTCCCATCACGTTCAACGGCTTTTCTCCAGATTCAGCATGCACTTGGTTGTTGTAAACCTTTGACTATCTTCCCAAGTTCCAATAAACTTGATTCTGACCCTTTTTTCCAGTTTTCAGTGTTTCTGGAGAGGGATTGACCCCCAGAGTACCCTACTCTGCCATTTTCACCAACATCACTCAGTTCTGTGAGGGATGTCTGAAAATTTAAATTCTTATGTTACCATCTTAATTTAACAGTGTGCACTTTTTTCCCAAAAGGAATAACAAATCACAAGAAAGACAAAACTCGAAATTTCTTTAGTATTAATGAACTTGTGAAAATCAATAAAATGATTTATTTTATATATGCAAAGTCAAAATCTCTGTGTACACTTAAATTTTTGCAAATTAATACAAACATGACAACACTGCTCCATATAAACCTTTGTATAAACATTAAAGGAAATATACACATAATTTTTTCTTTTAGTGCTTCCAAAGCACAGAATGTACAAGTCTCCCTGAAGCCTTTCTGTCGCCACATGCAAGAACAAATGTCGGGGGTTGGGGCAGCCTCAGGTGCACTTGGTAAAGTCTCTAGACAAAATAGAAGAGAGTTGGAGGTAGATTGCTTGGTGACTCTCCCTGCCCCCGCCCACAGAGAAATAAGTTACCCGAATAGCAGCTTTCTTACTCTTTGATTCAAACTCTCCTGAATATTGCATGGTTTAAAAGGCACAACTAGGAATTGTTGAAAACTTTGTTCGGCACACACGAGATTACCAGTTGGATTCTGGACACTTATTCTTCCTAAAGGATGTAGCAAGAGCAGCAAGCAGCGCTCCACCTGAACACAGGCCCTGGTCACCCAGGAAATGCCTGGAATGCCAAAGTTCAAATGAGTGAAGCCTCATCGCCCATGGCACGGCCGGCAGCGTTTACTGGAATTAATCTGCTGAATTTATAACATCACCTTCCTCAATGAAGAAAAGAAACAACGAAACAACAAACTAATCCTTTCGAAGAAAACTCTTAGGGCAAAAGCCAGCTTTTACTGTCAGAGAATCATAAAATAAAAAAGCTCCACAGCTTCTTCTTGACTAAAACATTCTAGGAAGCTTCAACAATATCCTGTTCCATCCTACAGCACAGACACTTGTCCTTTTTTCTCCTTGGCCTTTGCATTAACACAATGATCTGCTGTTGATGTGATTAACATTGTTGAGAAGGTAGTGGGAATCTATTTTTTCTAGTACCTTCTCAAGGTACTGAATTAAGACTCGTCTTTTAAACCTAAAAATAAAGAGAAATTTCATTAACCAAAAGATGCTTAAAGCACTTATGTGTAAGACCGTGTGCAGGGTACAAAGTGGAATTGACAGTTTACATGGGAATAGAAAATGTATCCTCACGTAAAGCTAGGGTTTAGTAAATACTACCAGTGCCAGTTGAGGGCCCAAGGCCGCCTCAGACTGTGGTGAGTCTAGAATGCTCCACAGACTTGGATGAATGAGTTGGACTCAGATAATATCAATCTCAATGCTTCTGGAGACAGCCTTAACTCTGAGGCAGGGCCACGGTTTGAGAAAAGCAAGGCAAAGCCTATTCCTCTGCCCATGCTGCCTTGGGCCCTACTGCTTAAAAAAATAAAGAGTTCCTCTTCATACCCACCTTGCAGCTTCCTTGATGGTAAATTCAACAAATTGTTTCTTGACTGCAAGAGGTCCTTGCACTCCTTCAAGCAAAATGAAAATTCTTTCATACTCTGAAGATATTAAAAAGAAAAAAACTTCAGTATTTAAAAAAATACGAATGGGAAGTAAAATTCAGTCTTTACACATCCTCAGTAAACATTCTTCATGGGTGGAAAGTTAGATATAGTTTGTATTTTAAACACTCAAATCAACACATCTGCACACATCTACTAAGGAAACTCTTGTAAACACTAAACAAATATGATAGGCTGAATAATGGCCCCCAAAGTTGCCCATGTCCTGATCCCTGGGGCCCATGAATATGTTGCCTTATACGGCAAAAGGGATTTCACTTTGCAGATGTAATTAAGTTACGGATCTTGAGATGGGGGATCATCCAGGTTTATGCATGTAGGCCCAAGGTAGTACTTGGCCCAAAGATCCTTACAGACGTAAGGCAGCAGAGTCAGAGTCAGAGAGAAAAGACGGAAAGATGGGAGCAGAGGTTAGAGAGGAGAGAAGCTGGTAACATTGCAAGCTTGAAGATGGAGGAGGGGCCCATGAGCTAAGGACAGCAGGCAGCCTGTAGAAGCTAGAAAAGGCAAAGAAACAGGTTCTCCTAGAGCCTCCAGAAGGAACGCTGGCCTGTCAACCCCTTCATTTTAGCCCAGTGAAAATAACTTCAGAATTCTGACTTCTACAACTGCAAGATAATACAGTTTTGAGCTACAAGGTTTGTGGTCACTTGCCACAGCAGCAAAAGGAAACCATTACAATAAGTAAGGGGGAAAAAAGAGACAAAATGTGTACTAGGTCTTTTTAGTTAAAGCAAGAGGAATCACTTTAAATTATGTGAAAGCCCAACACTTCCCAAAAATGCACCCAAAGAGATAGCTTGAAACTATTCTGAATCATAGAAGGAGAGGGACCTCCCAATATATTATTGATAGGTGTTCTTTCACTACTTACTTCGTCCAAATTTTCGAACTTCCTTCATTAACTGATGTTTTATATCAGCATTGATTCCTTGTGCCATAGCAGGAGTTATTTGTAATGTATTTGGCACAGCTCCCAAAGTAGACGTTACTGAGACCTTCTGATCATTTACAGAGATGCTGCAGTTTTTGGTTCCTCCCACAAGTGCATTACCACCAGGTTTGGGAATGAGGCCATCCTTCCTGAGACTAATGAAGTCATCAGACAGAGAATCCGATTGGTTGGGTGGAACCCCATCTCCCGCCATATTCATCAGCTCTGGTGCAGCAGATTTTGACAAGAAGCCATCTGGTGGGGTTTGACCATTTTCCGTCTTCTCCTCATGGACATCGTGAATGACAGTAACATCTGGAAATCAAATTAAGAAGTTGAGCTGTGAGGTAGGTGTGTTCTATCAACCCCACAGGCAGATCCTGGTGCTCCTCAGTTTTGAGGAAATTATTTGTTTCATAAAAGAAGAGGATGTACCAGATGGAGTCGGAGACCCCCCTCAAATTGAGCTCAGGAAGATAATACAATAAGACCACTTTTTTCTCTTCATGGCACTATGAATACACATGGAAACCAAGTAAGACGGCACAGCTAATAAACATCCTCAAATCCTGCACTCCTGGTTTAGTGGCAGCTTGTGCTTTACAAGCTGAAAAGCAGCAATTCTCACTTGATGTCATGATTTCTATAATTCACCTATAAAATGCATGCTTTACTGAGCTTGACACCAGATGATGTGGGCTGCCCTCAACCTCTCCCCTCTCTGCCTCAAAAGTTCTAAGAAAGCAGAGGCAGCCGTTAGATCTGAAGGCTTTATATGCACTCCGTCACCAAAAATCCTTGTCTGTCTATGATTCTCATTATTCTTTTCTGTCAAAGAAGTGGGTTTCTTTTTACTCCAAGTCTGACACCTCTATTTCATTTCCTCATCTCCTCTGTGCCAGGCACTGTGCCAGGAGCTGGGGGATTGCCCAGGAACAAGACAGACAGAAACGATCCCTAGCCTTATGGCAACTCACATTCGCATGGGGATGTCAGACAGGAAGTGCACAAGGAGCAAGCAAGATCGTTACAGTCTGAATCCGTGTTAGGGAAGAAGTAAGCAGGGATGTGACAGACAGCAGGAGAGGGAGCCTCTATGGACCACGTGGTCCAGCAGGGCCTTCTGGGGAGACGTCCTTTGGGCAGAGCTTGGAGGAGGAGAAAGAGCCGGCCTGTGCACAGGCAGAGGAAGAGTTCCAGGCTGCGGTAACAGCAAGCGCAGGGCCCGCAGGAGAGGACGAGCCGGGAACACAGAGCAAAGGACAGAGGCAAAGAGAGCAAGGAGGAGACCCACAGGACATGAGTTAGGAGAGGATGGCAGGGCCAAGATGTGCAGAGTTTATAGACTGTAGTAGGGAGTCCAGATTCTGTTCTGAGGATAGGAAAGTTGATGACGGGTTTTCAGGATGGACATGGCGTGATCTGATTTCTGTGGCCACACTATCACTCTGGCTGCAGGTCAAAAAATGGTTTAGATGAGGTGACGATGGGAAGCAGGGAAATCAGGTAAGAACCTACTGGAGTAGCTTGGTGACAGCTGATGGCAGCCTCGACTGGAGAGAGAGAGAGAAACGGTGGGATGCAGGATTTATATTGGTCATCAAGTTGCCTGGACTTGCTAATGGATGGAAGTGATAAAATAAAAGAGAAATTATGGTAACTCTAAGATTTTCACCTGAACCACTGGGTAAAAAATAGTGCCAGGGGTGTGCAGGTGCCAGTGCACAATTGCTCGTGAGAGTGGATTGTGTTCAACTCTTCCCAATCTGGCTCAGTGACCTCACGCTGATAGCCTGACATCGATAACGCTGGCATTATTTACACTGGAAATCTGCAAGCGTTACCATCCAGGGCTTCTCCACCCTCCCAACCCCACACCTGTGGGCAGTCGGCTGTTACAGCGTTACCAGCACACCACTGGATGGTGTTATTAACTGCACTGGGGAAGGCTGCAAGATGAGCTGTTTTGGAGAGAGGGAAGGTCAAAAGTTCAGCTGAAACACATGAAACCTACTGAGTTTTATATGTCTGTTAGACACCTAAGGAGAGATACCATGTCCACAGGTAAATTTGAGTCTGGAGTTTGGAGCAAGTTGTAGTCTAGAGGTATAAATATCCAAGGTGTTGACATGTACATCTTCTTTAAAGCCCCAGGCCTTCATGGGATCCCCTATGGAGAGACTGCAGTGACGAGGAGCAGATCCAGGATGGAGCCTTGCTGGGTCCCTGCATTATTTAGAAGCGGGAAGGAAGGGGAGAAACCAGAAAAAGAGGATGAAAAGGATTCCCTTTCTATGAAAGGGAAAAGAAAACCAGGAGTTTGTGGGGTCTGGGAACCCAAGAAAGTTTCCACAGAGGAGAGAGTGAACGACTGTGTCAAATACTGCTGAGAAGGAATGGCAACCTGTGGCAGACTGGGGACCCTGATGAGACCTGTTTCAGTGGTGTGCAGGAGGCAGGGCCGGACTGCACTGGAGCAGAGCATGAAGAGGAGATGAGGACACAGAGAGCGAGTGCAGACCCATCTTCTTATTGAGCCCATTTGCTCCTACTGCCTCGGGAACCTGCTTTATCATTCCGATGTGTGCAGCAATCCAAATGGGCACGTCTCATTAGGCCTTGCCCTGGCAAAGCAACCCTGTGCATATCTCCATTGCTCCATCTTGTGTTAACTACCATGTAAGTATGGATCTTCTCCCCGTTCACAGAGATTGAGAGCCTTGAAACAGGAACTGCTCCCCACAGGGCCCTTTGTACCTACCACATCGATGGTTTAGTAATGGATTACTTAATGAACAAGAACTGAATACAAAAGAAATGAATACAAAGGAAAAGAAAATTGTTTAGTGTCTTAGTCCTCTAGGAGCCATAAGGAAATCACAACCACTACTCTATACCTGTATGTACAAGGGTGGGTTTTATGAGGTTTGGATAAGATGGGAACCACGAGGCTGAGGGTGGTCCCTTTCCGCCCACATGGTTAGTTACAGTAGGTGGTGTTTGTGGTTTCCTCAACAGCAGGGACATACTCCGCCTTCTCTTAGATGACAGAGGACTGTTGGGTTCTCCAGGACGTTTCACTTTGTTCTGTGGCCCTGCTACAAACTCATCTGCTTCATCAATCATCATTCCCTGAAAAACATCAATGAACAAATTCCATTAAAGACGACACTGCAAGCACTCTTCCTAGGCATATGCAATCACGCGTTACATCACCAACAAAGGCCTTAATCATGGGCCAAAGATTTACCAGGCCCCGCACAGACTCTGTTCAGAAAATGCTACTCAATTTTAATCCAGTCTCAGTGGAACAAGGAGGAAACTGAAATATAAGGTGCTGTCCAAGGTCAAATCTAGTAGAATCATGACTAACCAGAAAGCTTAGGAAATAAGCAATTCTCATCAACTGAAATGGGCATAAACCCAGTTACCTTTCTGAAGAAGTACAAATGATTCCGAATCAACCCTTGCTAAGGGAAATAATTTCTTTCTGTGTGCTTTTGTGCTTTAAACTCATTAAGAAATATTGATTATCACCGTACAGAATGCTGCATGTAGATACTGAAGGGCAGGGAGATGGAAAATGTAATTCCCTTAACGGCAACCGCACAGAGATTCAAATATGTCCACCTTGGTGCTGGACAGAAAGGAGGGGGCTTTTCACTCTTGGGGACAGATAAAAGATGAGAGCCGGCAGTATAGGTTAGCTAAAAGCTGCCCTCATCCAAGGATAACCAAAGAATATGCACTCCATTATTTGAATAAAATCACGATAAATGGCTTCTCCAAGGCATTTTCCAAAGCAAAATAGTACAGAAGGGGGAAAACATATTCACTGAGCATTTACTACGTGTCAGGTAATGTTCTAAATGGCATACATGTGCTAACTCAACACTCCACAGAGCTCTGTTAGTTAGGTGTAATAATTATCCCTTGTACTACAATGAGGAAAACAAGACACAGAATGATTAAGAAAAACTCCAACTAATTGATGATTGGGGTGAGGTGGAATACTTTTCACAGTCTGGTTTGGTTACAGAAGAGATTACTGCATGAGTCTGCACCATAATACCAATGGTCTCCTCCAAGAGTGCAGACATAATCCCCATTCATCTCCATGCTTCAATGGTCAAGTCAGTCTATCTTACACATACACACAGACAGACACACACACACACACTCATCTCACATTTAGATCTCTAGTAGGACGAGCCAAATAAAGCAACATCACCTAGTACTTCATATTTCAAGAGGAGCACTTCATCACTGTCTAGATAAAGCACTAGAGATCTGAATAATGGAAAGAGAGGAAATGAATGGCAATCTCAATATTAAAGGAATTAGTGTGTAGAGGTGGAAATGAATACAAACTCTGGAGCTGGAAAGATGTGGGTTCAAATCCTGACCCTCATCATCTGTGTCACTCAGGGTAAGCCATTTGACCACTGTGAGCCTTGATTTCTTTTTATTAAAGGGCAGATAGTAATACTCATCTGAATAACAGTTATGAGCATTAAATGTGACAATTTAAGACACCAGCTTCTACTAGGTACTCAATAAATGTCAGCTATTATTTGCTTCAACCGACACACTCTTGCATCAGGAGGCTCCTGCTTTCCACTCACAAAGAGCTCTGGATTCATATTTTATCTTTTAAACAAAGAGAAGGAGAACCTCTGACGTATATTCATCTTGCCAAGAAGAAAGGAATTATAGCACGAATATCACAATTTGGGCAGACATAGAAATAGGTATCCTACCTTCTTATCTTGTTTGAACGGATTGCCAAAAGTATGCAGTCTTTTTGGTTGATCTGGATCAATCTCTCGAAGTGGGGAAGCCAATGTCTTTAGGTATTCCTGATAGTTACCCATTTGTGCAACTGGAACACTATGAAGGGAATCTGCAAAATCGTCAGAGAAGAAACAGATGCTACACAGCTGAAGTGTATGGTCCTTTTGACAGGACATGATCAGAGTCTAGCTTAGCAATGTGTATCTTGGCATCCAATAGTCTAATATCTCGAATGTAGCATTCTAGGATCTAAAATCATCTCTCTTCATCCCACTCATTACTCAGTCTACCATCACTACTGCTTACAAGCTCAAATCACTAGGCCAAGAGCAATTCCCTTACCTTTCAAACAAGGTTTGAGAATGGGCTGACATCTGTCATACGACCATCCCAACTCAAAACACCATATTTGTTCTGTGTTTCAAAGAGCCTAGGCTCCATGGTTTTCTCTTATCACCTAGAGAACCAAGCCTTACCCTCTTGGAGAATTTGATTAAAGCTATAGGCTCTCTTCTTAGAAAAGTCCCTCCTTTTCCACAAAACTTGGCACACTATTTCAGGAGGTTGGCCAGGCTAAAATTTGCTCATTTTAATGGTCAAATGACCCTGTTTAAAATGGACAAAATGGGGGCCAGCCAGTGGTGCAGTGGTTAAGTTTGCACGTTCCACTTTGGCAGCCCAGGGTTCGCCGGTTCAAATCCTGGGTGTGGACCTATGCATTGCTTGCCAAGCCATGCTGTGGCAGGTGTCCCACATATAAAGTAGAGGAAGATGGGCACGGATATGAGCTCAGGGCCAGTCTTCCTCAGCAAAAAGAGGAGGATTGGCAGCAGATGTTAGCTCAGGGCTAATCTCCCCCCGTCCCCAAAAAACAAATAAAATAAAGTAAAATTAAATGAACAAAATGGTAAAAGGGAGTTATACACTATCACCAATTATCCTGGACACTATCAGGTTCATTCTTTTCATGTAAATGAGGAATTCTGGAGTGAGTGCATCACAGTAGGCCGGGTGGGATAGCATTCAGGTGTGCGATTTCTAAAATCTGACAGACTTAGGTTCTGCAACTTTCCAACTCACCAAGCCTGGGCAAACTACCAAGATGCTCACTCTCAGTTCCCATGTCCATTAAATGGGCATAAAAACAGCAGCTCTCTCACGGGGCTGCTCTGAGGCTTCCAAGAGCTAAAGCACACTGATTAACATATTCACTGATTAATGCACCTTTTCCCTTAAGCCTGAGAACAATGAACTTGTGCCTGGGGCGATGTCAGGATTCAGTGAAAACAGGCATTCTAAACATTAAAGTATTGCAAAATAACCTACTCATTGTGCAATAAACACCTTTGTGTAAGTCACGCTTGACATTTTCTTAATCAACAAAAAGTACTTTCCTCATTTACCTTCATCCTGTCCGACAATAAACTTGTGTGTTTTCAGCAGATTGGATCTCATTCGAGTTAACTGGTCTAAGAGACCTCTACGTGGAATATCATAGGCATTTCTGTATGTCTGAGGTTTCAAATCCTATTTGAAATGAAACAAATAATTTCAGTCACTCCTGTGGCTTTTAATATAGAAACGTAATTCTTAACCCTCTTAAAATCCTAGTGAAGAACTCTACATTCAATACAATTGGATAGAGTAGAATTTTCCCAGTGGAAAATTTTCACCTGCTGGCCTTGTTCTGAATTCTAATACACCCACAAAGCACTAAAGCCACTGGGAATATCCTTTTTGAAGTATGTCATTTAAAACATCAAATCCTGAGATTTATGCCTGTGGCAGCCTTGCAGGTCCACTGCTTGTAATCTACCCTCTGGTAGCCACGGAGGTGAGCTGCTGGGATCTCCCTCCTGGACGCAATGGCTGATCTTGTAAGGAGCGCAGTTAGCTGAATGCAGTTAGCTGCAAGGCCTTTGGGATCTCCTGCAGCACATGGGCAGAGGCCATGTTCTGCCCAGGCTGCTCCTTGCTAGTGACTGAGAAAGGTGGGGGGCGTCAGGGCCAGGTGAGTTCTGCCAACATGGACCTCCTCTATGGGAAATCTTGGTGCCAGAGATCCCTATCAGGCTGGCCAAGACCTTCTACAAGCTACACCCATGTCTGAGGCTCTTCATACCCATTCCTCCTTCGTTCCCCACTCCTCTCATGGATGCTAGATCAGCATTGCGGCCTGAAGGCTTCCCCCTCTTACTCCTCTTCCCTCTCCCTTTTCTCTTTCACAGACATTACCACCCCACAAACATATCGTGTACATTTAATCCCATATTGGCATCTTCTGGCAGGACAATTCCTAAACTGGCCCATTAATAACGATGAAGTCCAAAACAGGATGGTAATGATTTCAAAGCTAAAGTAATATGAAAGGCATAAACGTGTCAGACAAGTTCAAACAAATACAAACTGTTCATGTTACAATTTACCTTGTTTAAGAGCCCTACTTGGAAGCCAGCAAATTCTTTGGTATTCAGTTCTGTCAGTCTCGGCACAGTTTCCCCGATTATTTCTTTCAATAGTTTTCTAAAATTTTTACTGTGAGTCAACGACACGCCACCTCCAGAATGATTTTTCACTTTGATTCCAATTTCCTGGGGAGGTTTCTTCCCCACTGAGGCTAGTATTCGTTCTGACTCTAGTTTGGTCTAAAATGAAAGTACATAGTATGTTATGAAAAGATCTACACTGTCACTGTCGTTTTTACTACTTAAGAAAGACAATACTTTAAGAACCCCACAGAACAATTATCAATTGCAAATCACAGAAAAACGGATAATTAAACATTTTCCTGTGCTTCTCTGTACTACCACAGCAAATGGGGGGGGGGGCCTACAAAGATAAATAACAATAGATTTTTTTCTCTTGTCTAGTGTCAAAATTATGACTGAATCATGGAGAGAATGGAAACCATGGATAAGAATTATATTCACAGACATTTAAAATTACATTTTGTTACTAGAAAGTCTAGTCTAAATCAACATATTCATTTCAGATCCAGACATAAAGGAATTTATAAAGGCAAACTAGTGCTAAAATTCAGATTACATACTTTGGCATTATATCTGGAAAAAATTAAACTTTCTTTTTAATATTGGACCATCCAAAAAAAAAAGAGTTATTTCAATTAAAAAACATTACCAAGTAAATAATTTGTAATATGTACTCAATAAGTTTCTTATTAATAACAAAAAGTCCTCTTAATAGACATTATTATACCATATTGATAAATATTGCTTGAGAGTGTATTGTAGCAATATATTGGGCATATTTTGTGATTTACGTACATTCTGAGATGGTTCAAGGAACACTGGTGACACAGAGTTATTAAATTAGTAATTGGAGCTGCTATAAATTAGTAATAATCTTTTCTTTTTCTCTAAAAGATGGAATTCCACCAATGTCCAGTAAGCCCAAAATAATTTTGAATTTCTCGTGGTTTGATTAGAGATATTCATTAATTTTCCTCTACTTATTGTAATTAAGTATGTTTATTATCTTCTAAAAATATTAAGACATGAAATAAGGGATAAGAGCAAATGAAGGGTCTGTTTCCATAAAGGGTCCTCAAAGCTCATTTATAAAACTATACAAGCGATGTGCCCCAGAATATCCCAGAACCTGCATGAGTTTCAACTCTGTTCACTATTCTTCCTTGTGGTCATACCCTGCCGACACAGCCTTAAAGGCCTAAGGTAAACATCAAATAAAAAAATATAAATCAATAGATCAATCAATAAATAACCAAAACAAAACATTAACAACAACAAAAATCTATTAGCAGAGAGGAAAAGGGGCTAAGGGGACACTCGGTAGATCAGAAATCTGGGTTTGCCTTTACTTTCTTTTGCATCTCTGAGCCCACTGGACTGGCAGGAACTGGTAAACTCCAGATCGTACTTAAGTTTTTGCCAGTTCCTAGCAAAGTGTGTCAGCATCCCAAATTGTGGAGTCATTTTTGTTCTTTAGTGAAATCTGACACTTTTCTGCTTACTACTCTGTTTTGTAAAGGCCCAACTTCTAAACATACCCAACTTGAAGCATTATAGTCACTGCAAATGCTCCAGACTGTTCCCTACCTGGGAATACATTTGTGCACGAGAAGAAAATAAGGCTGCTGCATTAATCTGTCATATAACATAACACATTTGTATGGCAGTAAAGCTCTAACTCAGTAGTTCTCAAACATTTCCATCCTGAAAGAATGGGCTAGGTAGAGGTGAGAAGTATGATAAGTAGGGGTGAGTGGAGGATGAGGTACTAATAGAGAGGGGCAGGCAAGGGACAAGGTGAATAATGGTGAATGAGGTGGGGGTGTAAAGGAACAGATGGAGGGCAAGAAGAGAGGAGGTCGAACTCCACTCTTCAGGTGCCCTTGGGGCCTATCACCCTCCAGTTTGAAGAACACGGGTCTCATCTCCCCCTCTCCAAGAAAAAGCATATGGATATTTATTGCCTAAAAACTAATTTCAGGCAAGTCACTTCATCACACCATGCCTCAGTGTGCTGACCTAAAAAGGGGGGTGCTCTAGCCCAATGTGATTTGAGGAGAAACTAGGTTGAAGATAGACAAAATGTGACCCATGAGATAATTCTATTAAGCCTCTGCCCCTCTTAGGCCACAAAATATCAACCAGCTTGTGGGTAGGACAAACTGGCAAGCGAAAGGAGAAATGGCACAGCATCAAATGATACTGACAGACCCTTAACTGCAGTTTAATGGTGAAGCTAGAAGCCATAGAGAATCACATTATTACTAATCCATAAAGTGTAGAAATATATACACATTTAATTTGAAAAATTACAATTACACTAAAGAATAAGGAAATGCACTTCTGAGGGCAAAGGATTTTTGTTTGTTTGTTTTTACCAATACTACCTGTTGGCTGAGTTTTTTAAGGTAAGAGATAACACTGTAACTAAGTCCACAATCTAAATTATCTGATATCAGATTTGGAGCTCCCATCATCCTTAGTGCTTTCTTTAATGGCTATAAGGAAACAAAATACACAACAGTAAGAATAGAATAAATCTTAAAATACTCAAAGTTCAGTTATAAGGGGCAAAGGGACATGATTCATTTCTTAGAAGTCAAGGTGCTGCACATAAAACCAAACATGGAACATTAAAAAGTGGCAATGAAAGTAGTAGAGAGGTAAGGAGCAGAGAGTAAAACAATCAGAAGAGAGTGGGATAAGAAGAGCAAGGAATAGCAAATTCAAACAGGTCAATTGCTTTCAGTCTTAGTTCCCAAGTCAGAGAATCAGTTCACATTGCATTTTATTGCACACCCCATTCCTGCCATGGCAAAAACTAACACACCCCAATTTCTCCTCCCAGTGACACCAATGGTACCATTTAAGATTCTGCCTTTTCACCTCTAGAAACTTGGCTTAAAATTTACCATATCCACCTCTGAAACGATTTTGATCATCTTGATTTAAATTATATCACCAGTTCAAAATCATCATGAATATTTTCCTCAAATTGTAAGAACCCAAATGAGGTCAAGTAATTTTTTACTCTTTTGGATCTCCCCCGCCAGTGCCCCTACTTTATACTGTGTCTAGGACACATTTAACAGGTAACAAGTAAATATAAAGTCTTCAGAATTTCTTTTTTCAGAGGGAAACCCCATATTGAGAATTTCTAGAGTTAAAAAGGGAAGTTGATATAATGCATGAATCCAGACTTTTTTCCTTAAATTCCAAAATTACAATTACAATTTCATAATGTTTGTTTTAATAAGAGAAACATAGATGTGTTTTTATAAACATAACCATGGCAGTTAAAGGAAACAAAATAAAGAAAACAATTCTCTTTTGTGCCGCCATGACTTCTCCAAGCTCTTACACATAATTTGAGAAGACAATGGTGACACAAGTATTTCTAAATAAAAAGAACTATTTTATATCAGAGATAAAGTTTTTGTTCATTGACATGTCTTGTGACAAGAATCATCATTGATACAGTTAATACATATATACATATAAATACATACTAATAAGTAGTATGGAGGCAGAGTTTTTAAGTAGTTGTCAAAAGCCTGTCGCCACTTCAGATTTGGCTTAAGCTTGTGAACTTTAAACAAGTCATCTGTAAGAGAAAACCAAATAAAATAGTATATTATTCCAGCCCTAAAGTCCAAGATCTAAATCAAGCAACCCACATCTATTATACCATTTCCCAGAAATCTCAAGTTTTAATTACATTAGATGAACCTTTCATTGCAGTTTATTTGATTGTCTTCCTTGGCACTATTTACCAAAATTATATATAGCATTTTTCTAGAAAATGAAATAAAAATTCTCAAGTTACATATTCCGCTTCTGTCTGTGGAACTACATAAAATATAATACTAAAACACTGGCTCTGATCTGTGTGAAATATTCTTCTGACTTGTTACATAATGGTAACTCTACTGTAGTAAATTACACCTGAGGGGAAATCCCTGGTGATGGTCACTGGTTGACGGAATATTTCTTTTATTTAAATAGAGGGCGTTAAAACAACAATAACAACAACAACAAATGAACTCATAGATACAGAGAACAGACTGGTGGTTGCCACAGGCAGAGGAGTGGGACGGCGGGCGAAAGTTTGAAGATGGTCAAATAGTATAAACTTCCAGTTACAAAATAATTAAGTCCCGGGGATGTAATGGACAGCATGGGGACTACAGTTAATAACATTGTATTGTGTATTTGAAGGCTGCTAAGAGAGTAGATCTTAACGTTCTCATCACAAGAAAAAAAATCTTAACTGTGTGTGGTGATGGATGTTAACTAGATGTACTGCGGTGATCATTTCGCAATATATAAAGATATTGAATCATTATGTTGTACATCTGAAACTGATAATAATGTTATAGGTCAGTTACATTTCAATAATAAATAAATAAATAGATAAATAAACAGAGGGTGTATACTTTTTGCTGAAAGTCACGGTAAGAGACTTTACAAAGTATATGAGAACAAAGACCAAGCCTCTAACGTCAGGGCAATGATGGCAAGCTCTAAATCATGTTTTGGATTTTCCTTAATCAGTCTATAGTCTGTTTAGCTGTCTTTCCCCCCTATTCATTACTTTGAGTTCAATGGTCAGGCATTTTGAACCAAACTTTGGATCTCTCAATGTTGGTTAACAATTGGGTGATGGCGCTAGTAAAAGGAAGTAGAGATGTTGAAGTTTAAAATTCCGTCCAATCAAATACATTTCTTTTTTTTTTAGATGGTAAAGTACTATTTTTTTTTCAATTTATATTTTATTTTATTTATTTATTTTTTAAATTTTTATTGTTTTGGATGTACATCATATTTCAAATTCTGGATACATTACATCATGTTCACCACCCGAACACTAATTATAGTGCATCCCCTCACATGTGACCCTAATCACCCCTTTTGCCCTCCCCCCACCCCCCTTCCCCAATGGTAACCACCAGTCCAATCTCCAATGCTATGTGGTTTTTTTTTTTGTCGTTTTTATCTTCTACTTATGAGTGAGATCATATGGTATTTGACTTTCTCCCTCTGTCTTATTTCACTCAGCATAATACCCTCAAGGTCCATCCATGTTGTCACAAATTCAAATACATTTCTTGAATGTCATGTGCATTAATACAACTAAAGATATTTTCCTTAAATAAGCAGATACCTCCATCTTTTCACACTTAAATGTAATTATTTTAATAATCTAAATGCATTATATACGCTATATGAAAATTTCCAAAACATCTCTTTATTTCTGCTGAGGGTAAGAAAAAATATTTTTCTAATATAATAATTCAAAATTGATAGCCCCATTGACATGAACTTGCCGCACTTACTATAAATACCAAAAACATTGTAAGTTCATCCACTATTTTATTTCTTCAGGTGTTATTGGCTCTTATTAAACAAAATGCTTTACTTCCTGGGAGAAAACCATCCCTATGTCACATGCATAACTTCTCTACAAGTAGGGCTATTCTTTGAAATTCTGAATTACTGTACTTAAGGAAAGCGACTACATATTTTCTTCCTTTTACGGCTATAATAAATGATTCATTCCTGCAGAAACTAATTTAAATGAATTTACAAAGTCATAAAATGTAGGTCTTTTGTTCTTTCGGTACAAGGTAGAAAGAACAAAGGAAAAAAGGATCTGAAGAGATTTCTGGCCCACTGTAGCAGGCAAGTCCTTTAAAGACCATTCATATTTTGACAGAAAGGAACAAGAAATCGGGGAAACATTCTGTTATACTGCGTCTTTATGTGGAGTCTGTTGAGAATTAGGCAGATTTTGGAAACTGACAAATTTAAATACCACAAGACTGGAGAGACATTTAGATATAAATAGATTAGATAATGAGAGTCAATAACAGTCTTAATATTTCTAACAATGCCAATTGCAATGATTCCACCCAGGAGCCAATTTAGTCTAATTATTTCTTGTCAGATTTTTTTTTAACAGGGGTAGGAGGAAGAAAGAAAATCTCCCACAGTCTAGATGAAGGGTGGAGAGCTATTAGGGTGACACTGCTTTAGTCACTATCTCTGTAGCTCAGAAAATTATTTCCATGGTATTAGATTTCCATTCACATAGAGTCTCGAGGATGGTGCAGTAAAGATATCAGAAATAATCAGCAATCAACATTTGAAGGATGAACAGATGAGAGTGCAGAAGAGAGTCAAATGATACTGCCAACACCTCAAAAACTACTGATAATTTCTCTTCCAGTTCCTTTCTCCCCATTGCCAGCTTCAAAGAGGAGGAAGATGTGGGTTTGAGTCCAAGCTCAGCCACACACTTAGCTGAGCGAGCTGTGAGAAACCACTTCACCTTTTTGTGCCTCCATTTCATCTATGAAATCGGTTTAATGCTAACCGCCTTACCACACAGGATTGTTCTGAGGAATTAGATTACGTACATGAAAACACTGTATAAAATGAAAAAAAAGGTGTAAGCTATGAAGCACCGGATATCTGGTGATTAACACACATTAAATTATCCTCTTTCTATTATTCTCTTTTCCTCCTCTTGACTATAACTGGTCTTAATATGGAGCTGAATTTTATTTTTTACACAAGTCTCCAGTTAATTAAAAAAAATAGGCGAATTGACTGTGGTATAGTTAAGAAAAGAAAAAGAGAAAAGTTGCTACAAAGGCCTTAATTTCTGTAGTTATTGGCCCTTGATAGAAAAAATAATTTCCTAATTGAGAGAGAATCTTCTCACCAACTGCGATAATCTGGTTACCACTCGACTGACGTGATGCTTATGGATCCAGTTAGGCCTCTCTTATCTATCCCAGGCAAGTTCTAGTACTTAAATAATTAAACCTTTGTTAACTATTTTTGATGGAAATCTTGAGTGAATAAAGAGGAAACAGAGGCTGCCTTTATGAGCAGTTTTTGTAACATGCAGTAACATGGTGATGTTTCCGGACATTGTGAAGTGTATGTGACTTAACTTGCCTTTTTACTAAATGCCTTGCCCACTAAAACTGTAAAACTGTCCTATATCTTTATATTATGTCCTTAATATGGAATAGCAGTGTCCTTAAGAGCTACTAAGATAACATAGCTATGAATAATGACAATACTAATAAGACCACTCATAGCATTATCGAGCACTTACTATCTGCCAGGTGAGTTCTATGCAATCTAACTGTATCAATTATTTAATCCCATCTAAATCCCTTGGAGGTAGGTACTATCATTATCCCCACTTTACAGATGAAATAACTGAGGCACACAGAGGTTAAGTGTCTTATCCAAGGTCACAAAGCTAGCAAACAGCAGAGCTACGATTCATACCAGGGCAGCTAGGCCCTACAGTCCATACTCTTAACCACTATGGAGGCCACACAACCAAGAAAGTGGCGTAATGGTGGAAATGTTGAGAGTGTCTATTTCAGAGCCTCAACACAAAACCCAAATTTGGGATTCAGAGGCACAAGGAGCTCCAGCCTCAAAGGGTGTGAAAAGCCCTATGCTCCTTGAAAGACAGGTTATAGAAAAGCCTGGAAATGGATATTTGAAGCCAAAGGGCAGAGTGGGAACTGAGTCAAGGATGAGATGGCCTTCAAATGGATGTGTGCGGTTAGGGATGGAGGAAGAATCAAGGATGTCTCTGGGGTTTCTGATTTGGGATGTTTGCAAAGGGACGGTGATGCTCTAGGCAGGGTTGGATTCTCCATGTAGCAGGTTAAGGAGGACCAGGGACAAATGTCATACATGCCTCTCAGGTGACAGAAGATATTTCATAAAGAAGAGGAACTTGGCATTTGAAGGATAGAGTGATACAGACTAAGAGATGACCAGCAGGACAGTGCCAGGATTTGACCTTACATAGTACTGTGGAGTCTGGGCATGGGCAGCATGTGGCAACTCAGGCACAGAAGGTCTTAGGCAAAGGAAGAACTGACTGCTTCCTCCTAAGCATTATGCCAGGTCCACATCTGACCTCTAGGACTTGCAAGATCAGCAAAGGTCAAGTTTATACATCTCAGGTAAAGTGCTATACATCTCAATTTCTAATGGGAGACCAGATACACTAGTAAGGGGCATTGTCATATAATAATTTAGAAGGAAGGCTGAGTTTAGACCAAAGGTGAGATCCTGGAATTCAGCCCATAATAGTTCTATAGAACTTTTCCACCGCCCTGCGATGATGAGGCCGCCCTCCACCCACATGGTGTCAGTGGAGACCATGTGGGGAAGAGTAGCAAAAAACTCCTACTTCTCCCAGCCAGGGAGGTACCATTTGAGCGAGGATCCGGAACTCCCACCCCCACACAGCAGTAACAAGGAGCCCCTTCCCTTTCAGTGTCAACAGAGGCCAAGTGGGGAACCTGGACTTCTACCCACTCCTGGCACTAATGAGGCGGTACCTCGCAATCTCTGCCAGAGGAGTGTAGGAGGAAGCCAGCTAAAACAGAAGGTTTCAATAAGATCCAGAGACTCATAACATACTACTGAAAATGTACAGGTTTCAACTGAAAATCACCCATCACACCAAGAACCAGGATGCTCTCCAAACAAATTCAACAAGACAATCAAGAGACGCCAACACTAAAATGACAGAGATGTTAAAAATATCCAATAAAGATTTAAAAAGAGTCATCATAAAAAATGTTTCAACAAGCAATTACAAAGAGGCTTGAAACAAACGAAAAAATAAAAAGGCTCGGCAAAGAAATAGAAAGTAAGAAGTAGAAGATAGAAAGAAGAACCAAATGGGAATCTTAAAACCGAAAAAGACAATAACCAAAATAAACAGCTCAATGGATGGGCTCAAAAGCAGAATGGAGGGGACAGAGGAAATAATCAGTGAGCTGGAAACTAGAACAATAGGAACCACCCAATCGGAATAACAGAAAATAGACCCCCCCCCAAAATGATCAGATATATAATTTTCAAATTGTCCCCACTCCATATGTTGCCTTTTCATTCTGTTGATTGTGTCCTTTGATGCACGAAAGTTTTTTTTTTTTTGTAATTTTTTTTTCGAGGAAGATTAGCCCTGAGCTAACATCTGCTGCCAATCCTCCTCTTTTTGCTGAGGAAGACTGGCCCTGAGCTAACATCCATGCCCATCTTCCTCTACTTTTTATGTGGGACGCCTACCACAGCATGGCATGCACACAGTGGTGCCATGTCCGCACCCGGGATGTGAACCAGCGAACCCCAGGCTGCTAAAGCTGAACGTGCGAACTTAACCACTGCGCCACTGGGCCAGCCCCATGAAAGTTTTTTAAGTTTGACCATGTGTTTATTTTTGCTTCTCTTGTCTGTGTTTTTGGTGTCATCTCTCTTATTATTTCTTACACCTGCATTTGACTCTACAATTATCTCAAAATAAAAAGAGTACTTAAAACATGGAAAAGAATACTAACAGTCAAGTAAAGAGTATCTAGTCTAAACCTTCACTTTATCATTGTGAAAACTGAGGTCATAAAAGTATATTTAAGAAAAAGTGGTAAATAAATCCACAACATACAAGTACTTTTTTATTGGTAGTCTTATTCACCTGAAAGACATCACCTATATTTTATATCAGTGACAATCACCTCTTAGAGGGTATTTTTAGATTGGACTTCAAAATAAATAGGCTATCTCAAATAATCATGCTAACATATTTATGATGACCCGTTCTTAACCTTCTTAACCCGCAACATTTAAAAGAATTTCTTTTTCAGTACATTTAATACATATAGCATTTACAGCACTAAAAATCTTATGCTCTTAAGGACTATATTAAAACTTAGCAAAAATTTGATCCTTTTCACAAAAAAAAAAAAAATCCCACCAAATAAAACTGTCCACAACTTTACAACTAGAAGGATAGCACGTGGTACTGTATTTCTCTAAACAGATGTGGCTCTTTAAATGAGAAAAAGTCTCCACACACATTTTCAGTGATATCTGAGTAACAGCTTCTGGAGTTGCTCCTTTTAGAACTTTGCCATGGAAACCACAGCTTCCACAACTCCAGTTATCACAGAGTTTACTCTTGTACCTATTTCCTAACTTGCTACTCTGCCTAAAACAGATGCCTCAAGAGCATTTTTTTTAAAGATTGGCACCTGAGATAACAAATGTTGCCAATCTTCTTTTTTTTCCTCTGCTTTTCCTCTCCAAAGCTCCCCAGTACATAGTTGTATATTTTAGTTGTGGGTCCTTCTAGTTGTGGCATGTGGGACGACGCCTCAGCATGGCCTGATGAGCGGTGCCATGTCCGCGCCCAGGATCCGAACCGGCAAAACCCTGGGCCAATGAAGCGGAGCACGTGAACTTAACCACTCGGCCACGGGGCTGGCCCCTAAGAGGATTGAATATTCTTTTGTGGAAAAATAAATGCAAGCCCATAGCCCGACAGAAGCCATATATTCTGAAGAAAGCCACCAGATTCTTGGAGCTTTAATCCCAATTAATGGTATTTTTTGGCCTCAACCAGTCTATGAAAAAGCCAAGTGCACTTAAAACTGGGTGACAGCATCGGAGCCTGCAACATAAAGAACAGCATAAGACCACACACCAGAGGTTGTCTCTTCTGTTTGACATAAAAATAACAAGAGGGAAATGAACAAAACAGAGAACAGTATGCAAATTCTATCCTTTTTAGGCTTTCATACATCCTGATATCAATTACTCTTTGACTACATTTAAAATTAGTCCGCTATCTATTTTTCATTTTTCTTGATTAAATGATGATTAAAGATGATTAAATGGCACATGCTTTACTTACCTAAAAGAGGGAGTAAAACTGGGTAGTTGTAGGGCATCACAAAGAGGTTGACACAAGTCAAAGTGGTACTGGCTTTTAAATAGCCAAATGGATATCCGAGTTCATTGTATTTTCCACTGCTAGTAACAAATACCTGAGAAGAACATGAAGAAATGCAGTTACGACAATAAGGGTTGTATGTAAAGCCAAACTCGCAGCAACATTATGCAGTGATATATCTATGGTGCAATTTAACTGCATGTAATTTAAAAATGGGAAGAGTGTTTTTAACCTATGGGTACGTCAAAATACGTCATACTAAATAAGAACGTTCGGATTGCAATTCTTTTATAAATTCTATTCAGAAATGAAACTGCATTATGCAATAACCATTCAGAGACCACAGGCAACATCAACAACGCCCAAATATTTACTTGGTTAGCATGTGGAAAAGAAGGCTGACATACGGCTAAGCGATACCAGTCATCAAAACAAACTGACTTCTCAAAAGAACAAGTAGTGACCAGAGCGGGGACTTTTAGGAAAACGGAACATGGTCCCACGAAAACACAGCCCATCTAAAAGACCATGCTGACACTCCTCCTGCGCGCTACTATTAAGTCTTGGGGTACTTCCCTTTGATGCCCCATTCCCCTCCCCATTTATTCATTTTTCACCCAATAAATATTTATTAAGTAACCTATGATAAGGCAGGCACTGGTGCTAATTATTTTGAGACAGCAAGGAGATGCTTTGGTTCAATTTGGAAGGCATTTTCTCTTGTAAATTATGCTGGAAGAGCAAACATTCAATAAAGATTAATGTTTTAGGGGGCTGGCCCCGTGGCCGAGTGGTTAAGTTCGCGCGCTCCGCTGCAGGCGGCACAGGGTTTCATTGGTTCGAATTCTGGGCGTGGACATGGCACCGCTCATCGAGCCACGCTGACGCGGCATCCCACATGCCACAACTGGAAGGACCCACAACGAAGAATATACAACTATGTACCGGGGGGCTTTGGGGAGAAAAAGGAAAAAAGGAAAACCTTAAAAAAAAAACGATTAATGTTTTAATTAATCTTATTGGAATTGATATTCCTGATTTGATATCTATTATCTTGTCAGGTCTCATACACTTGATATGCTGTGCTGGAGTCCTCTAGCTACCATGTTTTCTCTCTGTTCCGTGTTCACTCCTTGGTCCAAATCAGGGCATCAGTACATACTTCTACGGACCTAGACCTTTGCCTTTTCCAAAGTCCTTAAGCAGGATCATTTAAGACAAAAGTCAAACCCTGAGGGAAACAGAATCCATCTACCATGCTAATTCTTGGTACCAGCAGTATCATCTAGCAGGTCACTAAATTCTTGCTATATTCAGTTATAGCTAAAGATAAATCTTTTCTACGTAATTTATGACTCCACAGAACAATGAGTTGTGCTAAAACATGACTCATCTACTAGATCTGATGTCTTAATTTGAACCTTCATAGAAACAGAAAACTGAAATAAAACACTTTGGATTTCCCGCTATTTCCTAAGTGTATATAATAAAAGAGGGGAAAAAACCGTCAAAAAGGATAAAAAAAAACACATAACAGCCATCAAGAGTCAGACCTATGATTCCCATGAAAGGAAACGCACTGGGTTTTTGTTCCTCTCTCACTCCTTTTCACTCTTTCTTCCCTCCTTCTCTTCCTTCCTTCCCATAAGCCCCTTGTACAGAATTTGGGGGTTCCAAGGGATCATTAGAGCCCATCTTGTCTAGAGAAAGTTAAGCGTCTGGTCCAAGACCACATAATTGGTGGCCAAGCTAGGGTTAGAATCCAGTCTCCATTATGATTTTGCCAAATTTCCTGGCTCCTGACTCATCTTATTCTTTTTCACTCCCACTAATTTATCGTATTAAAACTACTCTAAACCAAAGTAACATAAGGTAGAGGAGGAAGCCATATGGCACGTCTGAGGGATGGTGCAGGGAGCAAAGACAGAATTTCTTAAGTTTCTTTGGAGAAGATTTACAAGGAATGCGCCATATAGAAAAGATGGTTTATTTTAAGGGAAAAGCATAATTTGTAATTTTATTTGCTTTTATTGCAAATTTTTTTCAACCCATAAATTCAATCCTCCTATCTTGATTTTAAGTTAGCATTCTATGATCCATATCTCTACATTTCTAGTACATTTTGGTGTATTTTATTAAAATATAAATATACATTCAAAGAAGTGCATGAATTATAAGTGTATAGCTCAACGACTGTTCACAAAGTGAGAGCGCATGTATCGTCAGCACCCAAATCAAGAAAGAGAACATGACCAGAGACTCCCTCATGTCCTTTTCCGGTCACTACTCTACACACCCGAGAGAAGCCACTAGCCTGACTTCTAACAAAGTCAGTCATTTTTACCTCTTTTTGAATGTATATAAAGTAGAATCATACAGTATGTGATCTTTTATGTCTGCCTTCTTTCGTTTGATATTCTATTTCTGAGACTGTTCTATTTCTTTCACTTTTACATCCTTGCCTTAAGTCTGTTCCTTTTTTCCTACCCAGTTTTAGCATCGTAGGAGAATTCAAGGAGCTTAAAGACAACTAGTAGCAACAGTCTCACATTTGGGGATGAAACAGATGGCAGTCTGAAAGCGTTCCTTGTGTAAATAGAACCTAACCACTATTGATTGCTATATGGCGCTATGGTTTAGAAATAGAACAAACATCCTTAACGTATAGGACTTCCTTATTATATCCAAATAAAAATGCTGTGACTGCCATGTCTGGATTTTTACAAACTGAAATCCAAAGGTGAGTCTGCTAACAAATCAGCAAGCCCTCTGGCTGAAGTCTAACACTTGGAACAGCCAGCGTGTGTGCATTTGCCTCATCCAAGTAAAATCCCCACTCCACACCCAAATGTGGTTTGTACTACAAGAAGAAGGGTTGGATCACATTACACGAAGACACAAAGTACTTTTAGGGATTATGTTTTTTTGTCGAAAATCTCTTGTACTTCTAATCTGTCAAGTTCACACTACGGGCTGAGAACCTTGCTTCAGTTGCAGAGCCATAGCTGAATAGAGTTACATCCTTTAGGTTAGGGGTTCTTAAGCTGGGGTCCCTGGACAGCCTTCAGAGGAGTCCTCCAAACCCTCAGATACACAGGTTTCATCAGATTCCACTGACTTAAACGGCATTGCACAGGAGGCTAAGGATTCATATCAGTCTGAAATGATTTGCTTGGCCCCATTGCTTATTTAATAGCATTTGTGAGAAACATTATTAACAGACTCAGCCTAGTTATTCCCAGATTAAGCTTTGAAACTTCTTAAAACAATTCCCAGATCCCAGAGTGGTTACAGACATTTGGTTACCAGGTAAGGATAAGTACCTGCCAGCAGGTATGTGGAGACTTTCGTTCCAGGATGTACTGAGTTAAGGGTGAAGGTTCAAGTTCATATTTGTCAAAGGGAAGTTTGTCTATTACCATTGGCTCACAATCTACACAGGAGAACCTCACAATAGGATGAGATGTTCGTGGAGGCTAAAAAACAAGAAGGGAAAACATGGTCTGTTATCAAGTGAGCTCTCATTCCTGTTAAACCATCACTGAGATACAGACTAGTGTTTTGAGAAAGAAGGCTTCTGATCTCTAGGCACCACCAATGGCTTCCATGGGGCAAGGGCACTCAAGTTCTTTATCTCTGCCATCTACTCGGCACTGGGAAGAGGAAAGGTAAATTCTAACACTCATAACTACAATTTCAGTGAAGTGAAAAGTAAAACTGCTTTGAATATGTTTAAGAAGTGGTTATGATCCGCAGGATGAACTCTGAATTTCAGATCCACTTTGCAACCTCCAAGCATTACCTGCTCTTTTCCCCTTTGTACCATGAGGTTACAGATAGTCCGGACACTGCTAGGGAAGAAGAAATCCGTGAAGCTTTCCAATGAGGTCATGACAGAGCTAGAGCCACTAACAAGCAAGATAAAAAGTTGTAAAGGCATGGAAAGGGCAAGAGAGAGCGAAAATGAGCCAATCACAGCTCCAGGGCCTACTTTCGTTTTTTTTCCAGTTGAATTTTCACAGCATTTCTCACACCCACATGCTTGCCTTGAACAGCTAGAGCTGGGGATGCTTTTGGCTGGGCTGCAAAGGCCTGTGTGCCTGCGGTACCAGAGCAGATTGATGGAGCAGCCATTTTACTAACAGGTTTAGGTTGTGGGAATGGAGAGCGCCAGAGAGAAATGGTGGCAGCAAGGGTAATATGGTGAGATAAGGAGATGGGACAAGTCTCAGGGACAAGGGGGAGACGTGGCTCCACCTTTTCTCGAGGAGAGCTCCCTAAGGCTGATATGAATATGACAAAACATCTCCGTTCCCTGTATAATAGGGAAAAACATGCTCATTTGCTTTCATAATTTACAAACCTACACGATGTTTTAGAAGCTGAGAAAAATAGTCCTCAAATGTGCTTTTAAAGCTGGAGGAATGGGAACATGAGCTATGTGTGAGTCACTTGGAATGTCTTTTATTGCAGCTTTTCCTGATTTTAATTTTAATTAAGCTTCAGAAATATTTCTGGCTCATTAGCGTTAAACCTATAAAAAAGTGATGAAGACATGAGCGAAGCCCCATCACTAGCAATGATGAAGTAAACTCGGAACTAAAACATTCCCTCTGGGGGCTGAAGGGGCTGAGGGCAACTGGGCACTGAGATTCAGCAAGCGTGCCACCTTGGAGCCCAGAGGGAAGGAGGAGGAAATTCAGTCTCCCCCATAGCAGGGGCCAGAATGGCTCTTCAGCTGGACATTCAGGCCTTTCAGGGCTACTCCTGAAAAAATGCAAAAGCCTAAAAACAGTAATCCAGGAGAAAACACGGTTCATGTCAGAAATTTCTAAAACAGACAGAATATAGATTAGCTGAACCAGAAAGGCACTAAACTGGAGGAGTAGTGACCTTTCTGTGCCTCCACGCCCCGCACAAGAAGGATTACTCTGGCCTTTTTCTATTGGCTGTGGGGAGGGAGGAAGATGAAAGTGAGAGTGGGTTTCACATGGTTTCCCTTTTTACTAGACACCACCCCTCCCCCCGCAAAATGTCAATTCATCTGGTCCTAGGAGCAACTACAACAGCAAAACCTCTTCTACCAAATGCAGTAAACAAAGAGACAAGTCCTTGCTTAGAGATCATTTTTTAAATATTGCTTTAATTACCCATGATTGAAAGGTGCATTGCCAAGGAACACAAGTCCACTGATACAAAAAGATGAAAAGTGGGTCCACAAAGTTCCACTAGGTGTCTAATGACTCCCGAAAAGGAAGTAGAACGATCTCTGTTTTGAATATGTTTCCAGAACATATACAAGGTGCCACCTAAGTTCTAATTTCCTGAGGATGTACATGAAAATCAATGTCAGCACTTTTTAGACATTGTGTTTACTATGTAAATCAAGTCAGCTGCTCTGAAACAAAAACCAAGTCATAGATTGCAACAGCATCAAAAATAACAATGCTTTAACATCCAAAGAGGGCAGTTCAAGTGGCAAAGGCAACTGGAAGAAAGAATGCCAGAAAAGAAAGGAAGTCCTCTCTTGCTTTTAGGTACAATCTAGATTCCCAGCAAGAGACAGAAGGTATAGCCTAGAAGCCTCAAATCTATTTTACAAGGTTCACTGCAATCAGCAAATTGAAAATCCAGGATGATGTTTACCTTTTTGTTTTATGACACTTACTAGTGAAGGTAAATTCTGATCTGGCCAAAAAGATTCTGGAATTGGCCAATGTCCAACAGGTACACCAGTTTTAGAGTTAGGTCGTACATAAATGAGCTTATGACAACTATGCCATGGTTGAGCGGCAAATGAACTGCTTGTCCTAGATGAATCCATAAATCCATCTAAAAATGAAACAAAAGACAGACGGAGGCATGAATTTCTTTTTACAGCTGATCCTCTTGTGCAAATTTTTCAGCTCAAAGCAAAGTATAAAACCAAACCAAAACAGTGATTCATGAAAAATGGAAGGAAAAAAGCATGCTACTAAAATTTCTGAATGTTCTCTGCGGCAACTCTTTCATCTACTCCATGAGTAACCCAAAATCCCACCCCTCTCTTCCCTCACTACAACCAAAATGTGCAGTTATATGGAAAACTACTGCAAAATTAGTGTTATATTTTCTGAGATTTGGACACATAAATTGAACACAGCAAACCACTACAGTTATTTTTCCAAATTAGGCAAATGAAATCGTTCATTCCCTGGTATAGTTTTACATTTTTGGAATCTGACAAAAGAGGTCATAAATTCCATTGATTTTCTTTCTATTCCCAATTAGATGAAAAAAGTATTCTTAACTATAAAACAGTGAGGCTCAATGACCACAAAGGCAAAATAAAAACTATCCAAATTCCCTCAAAGATAGAAGGAATGCTGACAATACAATCTGTGTATATAGTTGGGGGACAGAACACAAAGCAAATGCATCTAGTTTATTGAGGACTAATTCATTATAGTTTCCCCATCCACCCTTCAAATTCCATGGAAACTGGGCATGGTATAATGCTGAATAATGTATCCTGAATGCATTTTAATTATTTAAACTAGAATATTTCATTTGCCTCCAAAACAGGGCAAGGCAGAGTTACACAACCTTTAGTGCAACGATTCATTAGTCTAAATTACATTTGTAAAAGATGTTTTAATGATTTGAATCTCATTTTTCTTAAATGACAGGTCGTTTGATTTACTTATTTAGGCATTACTTTAAACAAGTAATTACTTTAGACCAGGAGATTTACTGGGCTCCATGGAGCTCTAGGAAGGACATGTAACGGCTTCAAGGGACCAAGAGACCCCCTTGAAGTTGAGCTCACAATTCTGGGGATGCGCATTTCTCTGAGGAGAGAGTTCTTAGCTTTCATCAGAATCTCAAAGAGCTCTGGACAAAGGGGAAGTGGAGCTAGAAAGAAAACCTGAGTTATTTACATGACATCAAGTCCAATAGGTTTTCAGTATGAAAGGTCCCAGTTCACATTAATGAATACAAAATTACGGATGGAGCAGTCAATCGTTCATAGTATAACATGTCCTTCCTTTATGATGAATTTAATTAACTTAAACTGTGAAGCTTCAGCCTTCTATGGTGGTGTTCTTAAACTGGAGTCCAAGAAACTCCTGAAATTAAATAAAAATTGTGTGTGTGTGGTCTATGTCTATTTTACTAGGGAGAGGGCTCTCTATTTTTCCAACAGCTTCTCAAAGGATTCTGGGAACTAAAGAGTAAAAAGGTCAGGAAGCACAGGACCCACTGCTTTAGGCAAAAATGTGTGTCTTTTAGCCCCTGTGCATTTGTTCCCTTTGCTTCTCCAGGCAGCTACCACTGGCAGTGGCCCCGGCAATTAAAATGCGTGGATCAGACCAGACAAGCACCATGGTAATGATGGAGTCTAGGTCACACATGTATGTATGTGTGTGAACTGGCAGGAATGAGGAGAAGCAACAGCCTAACAGTGCTCGGAGTAAGCCTTGCCATGCAGGTATGATTCGAGGGAGAAGTCCCTTCCCCTAGACAAAAGTAGCTCGGCTTTCATCTATTTTGAGACGTTGAACTTTCTTTAAAATCTCATCTGAAGAGAAAAGGTTCTGCAGTTCAAAAGTGGCCAGGAAAATACTGGAGTAGGATCTTATAGAATAGTAACAGTTCCTGGGTAAACATTCAGTCTCTTGCTGATGTGTGCTAACAAACACAGGTCTCATAAAGACAGCTTGGCACATTTGGCGCTCACAAGATCAAACCCAGCTTACGAGTTAAGCGGCACTCTGTAGTGAATCTCCAGATATTTCGTGAACAGAGAGGTGAATAATTCAGTGTCATCCCAAGACTCGGACTAGGTAATGTGAAACGGGTGGGGTAAAGGAAGAATTTTCTCAGGAAGATTTGACACTGAATTAAAGTCACCAGAATCTGGCTACCTGACACCGATACATAGGCAATGAATGAATGGTAGTTTGAGTGGATCTTGTAACGGCTTGAATGAATGTAGATAGTGAAGACTGTGTCTATTATGATTAGTTTAACATCTTCCCAATCTCAGACCATTGTCCTTTATAACACTTTAGGGTAGAAAAAGTTATCTACTGTACCTTCTCCGATAGGAAGTGGATCTGGTCCTGTTTTTTCAAAGTTAATAACTACACCACTCTGAACTTTTTGAACTAGAGATTCTAAACATTGATTCAACATTCTTTGTGTTCTAACACAGTAGGAGCGACCTATAGCAGAAGGAACAACAAATAGGACACGTCTGAACAAATAAAATACTATTTAACAATACAAGCATTTGAAATCCTAAAATGCAACGTGAAATAATCATAACTACATTGGCAGGAAATATCACACTAATGGTGAGCTTAAGCAGCAGAGTTAAAAGATTCCGAAGAAAAATATGTGAAGACTGGATATGGCATTTAAGAAAAACTATACTCTGCTGCCCTGAATTCTTCTTTTAGAAATATTAAATATTGCCAGTACCTCCTGTGACTTCACACATCTGTGTGATGGCAGATTCGTCAGTGGGTACGCTCCCTAGCTGCTCTGGTTCAGTAGAAGCCAATCCAGGCAAACGCAACACCAGGGCAAATAACCTTTGATCCCAACGAAAAGGTTCTTTGGTTAGTTCACTTCCAGGCAGAGGAGAATTCAAAGGCAGATGAAGCTGATGAGGCAAAATTCGAAAAGTTTCATCATAACAACCCGTACCAAACTGAAGAAAGTTAAAGAGTTAAAGGGTTCACTTTTCTTTCATGTACTCAAGAAAATGAAGCAATCTTTCAAGGATTACCAAGATGGAAGGTTTGATCAAATTTATTCGTAACTGGAAATTTATGCCTCCCACAGAAATAGCTGCATGTTCTCTGCCATTTAAACGAAAGTTAAAAAAATGAAATCTCACCTCTTCTTGAATACCAGCAGTACTTGTTAACTTGTTTCCATCTGTGATGGTAATTAAAATAGATGGTTCTAAAAAAAATGGATTTCTCCCCTAAAATACATTTAAAAAGTATTAGAGCCATGCAAAGTAATAAAATTGTATTTACACTTTTACATTTGTCTTGCCAGTGATCTCTCAAATGTGTGATAAAATTTGCCTGGATAAATGAGAAGGAAAAGATTAGGGACTGAAGTGGGTAGGTATCAAAATAACAATCCCTGAAAAGGTAACATTCAGAATAAACTGAAGAATTTTTATAATTCAGGAACTACCCAAACTATAACATCTGAATACCCCTCTCCCTCTGCTTTCCAAGTAACCACAAAAGATATTAAAGAGGTTGTAATGGCAGCATCATCCACACCCCTCAATCCATTCACCTGAGTCACAATCCTGCCATGGGGTGGGGGGGGGGACATTAGTGACGTATGCTCTGCAACCTGGAGAGTGACTCTAGTTACTGTGAGCAGAGTTTTTACAGTAGGAAAGGACAACAGTAGCAGCAGCAAATGCTATTCTGCCTTCCTCTTATTCTAGAGCTTTTTCATTGAATTGGGAGGGACAAGGGAGTTAAGGACACAAAGTTTCTGTTCAATTGTCTTGTTCCAATATTTCTCTGCAATGCATTCATCCCATTCTCAGATATCTGACGATCTGATCAGTAGGCAATTTTAACTATTTTATGATCAAGCCACATACAAGCCCCCCCAAAAGAGGGACTGTTTTAAAGTATGTGTTTAAAAGATATATGGACCTCCTTTTGGAAGTTATGAAAAGTAGCAGAAAACTTGGTAACCATGCCCAAATTTAAATTCTTACCCCAAGTCACCAAAAGAAATTAGCTGTACTCACTCAAAAATTTTTTTACCTGTCCATAATTGTCTATTCCAGATATTAATCTATTGAGATTTAATAAATCAAATGAGGATCTTAGAGCCTGACCAAGAGTAGTCAGTCCAGAAGCCTGAAGATTTTTTAGTTCACTCATGAATGTTGCGTGATTTTCCTTCCAACCAGCCTGAAAACCAAACATTTACAAAGAAATTCCCGATTATACAATGAACAATATATAAAGTACAAACAACCACTAAACAGCAAGTATCAAACCTCTAACAAATTAATAGCTCCTTAATCTAATTCTATTCTATACCTTGACTGATCAAGTGGAACTAAAGCAAGCAATCAGTTGCAGAAAGATCAGCATTACTGATCAAGAGCAAAGATACAAACAATGCAATCATCCGTTATGGTCAGAGGGTTTTGGCTCAAGAAGTCCAGTTTTCTATTCAGACTCAATCAAATCTACGAAAACACCTCAATATTTACCTGAGTTTGATACGGATGATGAGCTGGAGTAAGTGGGAGAGGAAGGAGTAATTATTTAAATGCATTGTCTTTATAGAGACAATTAGATATTGAGTGTCTAATCTACATGAACTTTTCTAACCAAGATTCTTCTTTCCAAACAACATTTTCACTTTAAACAAGAGCAAAGGGGGAATTACAGGAATAGAGCCACAACTATTTGGAGACAACCCTTCTGGCATCGTCAAGCATTCAGAAAGCCCCAAATCTAGAACAAGGGAGAAGGAAAAGAAACCAGAAAGTTTTGGCAAAGAAGCAGCATCCCCTAGGCACCCCCAGCAGCTGTGATCAGCAGCAAAGAGCCAAAAACTCAAGGTCAACAGCCCACATGCTGTGATTGAATGGTTTGTAGACTAGAAGGAAAGGATCACGTTGACTATTCAGTGATGGCTCTAAAAACAAAGCAGCACAAGTTGCCAAGAAGAGAAGCCAAAAGAAGAAGACGGCAGATAACAGCAGGTCATGGAGTAGGCCAGCACGGGAGAGAGCAGACAGCAGAGCTTGGCGACTCCGTGGGACAACCACTTGAGTCTTGGTAGCCCTGAGGGCAGCAGTGTGATACACTGAATGCTGAAGTCATGCTAGCCGGGCCAGTAAGCTGGAGGTGGGAAGCAAGAGCAAATAATACAGAGATCAACTACATGATTTACACTTCACGTTTAGCTGAAGGCGTATTGTCTATTATCCATACAACTAAAAATTATCTTTTCTAGTTTCATAGTCTCCTGAAGCAGTCTGCATCAGAATGACTGAGAGGCTGAAAAGGGGCAGATCATTGCCTGCGCCCCACCGTGAAATATCTACGTGACCTTGAGCAAACCTGTTGGCTCTTAGGACCTAAATTTCATTATCTGAAAATGATTCGATAAAGAGAGATACTGTATAAGGCTGTGCATGATACAAGCCTGGAGGAGAGTCATTCACATTGTAATCCATGAGAACGGCGTGCCCTAAGTTTGAACAGTACACAACCTGCATAACCATACAAGGTGAAGGTGGTCCTGGTTAAGATCCATTCCAGTCCAACAGTCTGGGACTCTGTGAAATTAAAGATGTGCTTAGTTTTTTTTTTTTAAAAAAAAATTCCTGACATATCCTATAGGTCAAAGTATCTAAAGGTAAAATCTTTCCATGTGTTCCTGTGGTCAGATTGTATATACACGACTTTTAGTACTTGGAGAAAGTAGGGCATGAGAATAATTCTTTGTGGTCCAAGGAAAATCTTACCTAGACTAGACAAACTAAACTTTAGTTAAAAGGAAGGATTGTAATTTAAATTGTTCTCACCAAACACCTAGAAATATCAGCAGGTGATTACAAATCACACTGAAATCAAAAATTAGCTTTCTTCTTTGGGGTAGAAGAGAAAGGTGTACACTTGGGAGGGATAGCGTCAATTCTTTATTCAACAAACTTTTATGGACCAACTATGGATGTTGGGCAGAATGCTCCATTCGAGCGACATAGAGAGAGACGAGCCCTTGAGGAGGTCCTGCCACAAAGGACTAAGGAATGCAGTTATGGACACTGAAAAAAACAAATGACCAGAGAGTCAGGGAAGGCTTCTTACAGAAGACGGGGCAATTGAGGAACACTAACGGCAGGAAGAGAAGACCATGGGGCTCCCCAACTCTGATGTGAGGAGTGGAGGAGGCAGGCCAAGGGAAGAGAACAGAGAGTTCATAAAAGGATAGGCTTCCGGGGGAACCGCAAGTAATTTGATTATCATTGCTCTGGGTACACGGCAGGAGGCAAGGCTGATAAGTTGGGCTCTGACTGTAAAGTGCCTCGTACATTATGGTCAGTATTTTGAATTTTATCTGTTGGCCCTGAGAATAACTTGAGGTTTTTAATTAGGGGAGTGGCATGATCAGATCTGTACTTTAGCAAGATCATGCTGCTGGGAGTCGGAGAATAAATTGTGGGGTGGAGGGGAGGCTGAAGCTTGAGGCAGGGAAACTGGTTTGGAGACTGCTGCACCAGCTTATGAGACAAGTGATGCAAGCCTCAGCAAGGGCAGTGGGGATGGAGAGGAGGCTGCAGATTAAAGAAGTATTTCAGGGGTGGAGTCAAGGATTTAGCAGCTAATGAGAGGGATGGGTGAGGGAGAAAGGGTCACACATTGGGCTGACGATTCTGGCCTGGGCAAACCTATGAATGGGTCCTTCACCCGGAAGCCACTTTACAAAGTTGACTTTTTTTTTCAGAGCTAGTTCATTTAGCAATCTTACTTCTAAGCTATAAACTTAAGAGTTCCATCTACAGCAAACGTTGAACTCCTGAGAGCCACAGGATAGTTCAAGCCATGACTAAAGAAAAATTAGTGGACTACTTGATTTGGTAAAGGGCTGGGACAAGACTTGGGTACCACTTCAGCAAACTCCCTAGAATTCATCAATATTGGAAATAATGTGTCCTGATTGGCAGTAGTCTTACTAATCTATCTGTCAGAATAATTGCTCTTTAAAATTTCCTTTCTAATGTGGATTGAGAGCATTTTACAAATCGTTTCTGCACCTGAGTCACTGGCATTCTGTTTTTAGGTCAATTCCAATTCTTTGCAATAAATTGGATGAGACGAGAAATGTGAATGCTACTCCTACCTCAGCACTACAAAGTATATGGACTACAATGACGACCCAAAGCAATAACCTGCCTGGGCGCAGTCTAGCTCCTTCAAGAGAGGAGCTAAATGGCCCTAAATCCATTCCTCAGAATGCTGAAGAGAAAAAAAGGCCTACAGATTAATTGCAATATTTAGAGAAACTTATTCTTACGACAACTTTCTTCCAAAAAGATAATTACATTCTTCATTCGTTGCCTGGAGTTGATTTTTTCATAAATGAATTCAGGACAGCCCATTTGCATTTTTAATACAGCCTTTTCTTTCAAATTACTCCAAAGATATCCTACTCTTGTCTCAGGACAATCTTTACTCCTGGTAACAACTCCCATACGTTCTTTTTATTTTAAGATTTTATTTTTCCTTTTTCTCCCGAAAGCCCCCTGGTACACGGTTGTGTATTTTCAGTTGTGGGTCCTTCTAGCTGTGGCATGTGGGACGCCACCTCAACGTGGCCTGACGAGCGGTGCCATGTCCATGCCCAGGATCCGAACCGGCAAAACCCTGCGCCACCTAAACGGAGCGCGAACCTAACCACTTGGCCACGGGGCTGGCCCCCTCATACGTTCTAATGGAGCTCGACAGCTTACAAAGCACTGGCACACTTCACATTTGCTTAAGGGATCAAACCCTATCAAATAGGCCTGGGATTACCAAGCCTATTTTGTTTTAACAAACCAGGAAGAAGTAAGACTTAGTATGTCTTGTTTGTGGGGGTGACAGTGGTTGCGAGCCACACTCTGGAGTGGTACTAATACAGTAATCCTTAGTCACATGTGACTACTGAGCACTTGGAACATGGCTAGTGTGACTTGAGATATGGTCTAAGTGTAAAATACACATGGGATTCTGAGGACTTGGAACCAAAAAAAAAAAAATCTCATTTATTTTTATATTGATTACATTGTTGAAATAATGTTTTGGATACTTTCAGTGAAACAAAATATATCACTAAAAGTTTCATCTGTTTCTTTTTACTTTTTAATGTGGCTACTAGCAAATGTTAAATGTTGCATATGGCTGGCATTATAGATCCATTGGACAGAGATGCTGGAGAGGGACCTGACTGTCAGGCAGGAGAGCCTGGCAGACAACAGACTCATTACCCATTCTAAGGCAGGGCAAACAGGATCAAAGCACTGTCTCAGGGGGGTCAGTCTGGCAGTGACATATAGGATAGACTAGAGAAGGAGAAACTGTTGTCAGGAAAAAGAAGCTAGGGTGCTTGAATAGTAATCCAGGGCCGAGGAAATCAGGGCCTGAATTAGGATTGGAATGCAGAAGAAGGGGTTAATCGAGAAACGTTTTAAACAAACAAGACAGGACTTGGTGACAGACAGACAATGGGCCTAAAGGAGAGAGAGTAAAAGATGATTACGAAACTTCTAGCCTGGGCGACCTGAAGAATAGAGGTTTAGGACAAAGAAGTAACCGAGAATGGGTGAAATTCTAAACTAAGAGTTTATTGTCTTCACAGGTCAAGTTTTAAAAATCTTCCAGAAGTAAAACGATGATGATGATGATGATGATGATGATGATGATGATGATCAATAATAATCATGGGTAATATTTATTAGTGCCTATGTGTCAGGATCTCACTTACGCTAAGCAGAGCATTTTATACGTATCCTTCTCACCTGAGCCTCATGACCATCCCATGAAGTAGGTGCTATTATTACTTCCATTTTACAGATGAGCACACTGAGGCTCAGAGAGGATAAGCAACTTGCCCGGGTCAAACAACTAGTAAATGACACAGCCAGGATTTGAACCCAGGTAGCTTGGTTTTAGAGCCCACCAATTTAAACCACTCTGCGAGAGATTCTTCTGCCTATTCCACATATTCATCTCAGAGACACGTCTTGCTATATTAGCTGAAAAGTTCATAAGCTGAATGGAATGCCCCCATTTCATTTAATTTAAGCCTACTTTCCCTGATGTCTAACTGCAAAGCAGTTGAGTGAGGGGAACATTGAATTAGGACTTGGAAGAGCCTGGTCTATCCCTGGCTGTAACTAAGTAGCAAAGCA